TGGCAGTTTATGACTATTACGCGGTGGTCCGGTTGTGGCTGACGGATTTCGGTTTTCATATGAACTTCAGGACTGAGCTGATGTGACTTCCTTCTGAATTATTTTTTCCAAACTAACGATGAATTTCTGAGGAAATGAAGTAAGTTGATATTTGCAATATGGAATGAGCGACTGAATACTAAGTAAAGAAAGGGAAGTGTGCATGTTCGAACTATGGTATCACAGCAATTTGCCTTGAAAACGCATGTCAGTATTTACGACTATGGGAAATCAGCAAGTGAGCTTTTAGTCTTCTAACAGGGGTGCAGGCGTGTCCAGCGGTGGATACTCGTAACGGTAGAAGTAGGTCGCTCGCTTGCTTGCAGGTTTAGAATACGCCTAGCGTCCACATGCTGGAACTTAACTCTCACATGTGGCTCCCCGAAGCTAGGCTCTGCTTGTCGGTCACAGCCAGGTAACCGCCTCGACTGGCGGGCTAAACCAGGTGAGGGTATCCGTGTGTGTGCATCTTCGCACACGGTAATCTCGGCTCCGATGGCCGGCATTGGCACCTCCGTGATGACACCCCATCTGGAACAAGGCAAGTGGACCCTCAGGTAGGCGAACGTTGCTCTGCTGCCTTTGCTTTTGCTTGTTCTTGTCTGCTTGCATTCTCTCTGCATGTATGTGCTTGTCTTTATTGAAAACCAAATGATATTCTGTTGAATTTCCTGTACTGCTTTTACTTTTTGCTATTCTTGCCTTCTTGCTTTTTATCTGCGGTCAGATGTGATTATGTGTCCCACCTGAAGTAAACAAACCCCAGCCACCTGTAATACGAGACCAGTTGTAATAGAGGCTTTTACTGGTGGGGTCGGGGAACGCACAGGCAAGGAGGTCAAGTAGCTTTATGCAAAAGAAAAGTTATTGGGAATGCTTGCTTATACTTCGAGCGGTTGAGAATTAGCTGCCCTAACCCCTAACCGCAACCCTTGACCATACTCCCTAGCTCCAGCCCCAGCAGTAGTGGGTCCAGAAGGTGGGGCTACATAATCATATCTTGCCTTGTCTCTGCTTGTTTGTACTGTCCTTACTGTAAGCTAAATGCCGTTCTGTTAAATTTGTCTCCTCATCGTTTATATTTCAGCATTTAGTGAGCTTAAAGAGGAACGGGAAAGCTCTGCATCCCGTCTCTCTATCCTTCCACCCTCCACCCATTCAGTTTACGACGATATCGCAGGCAGTCCCAGGTTAACTCAGGTCGTTTTCCCACTAAACACAAGTCGCGGCCCATAGTGGAGTTCGGCAGCCGTCTGGGAAAACTGAGCAGCCCTATTTAGGGAGAGCACTGCTCCCCCCCCAGCGAAGGGGAAGGGGCCAGAAAAGATGCCCTAAACAAATGCTAAGGACCCACGCCGTCTGCAGGTTGACCGTGGCAGCAGACGCAAAACTCATGGTCGAAACAACCAGACATGAGACAACACACTCTCTCTTCTCCCTTTCTCTTCCCACCGCTCCGCTCGCCAGACTGATAGGATGAGTCCGCTCACTCGGGCAGCCTAGAATGTTCGATTCCTTTCAGACAATCCGGGAAGCAAGCGACCGGAACGTAAGATGATGCTAATGGCTCGGAAATTGGCGCGCTGCAAGGCGGAAATCGCTGCGCTCAGTGAAAATCCCTTCTCCGATCAAGGCCAGTTTGAGGAGGTTGGCGCCGGCTACACCTTCCTATGGAGCAGTCGTGTCAGGGCAGAGCGACGCCTTTGCCATCCGGAATGTTATCGTGGGACGACTGCCCTGTCCGCCGCAAGGCAGCATCCGTCTGCCTCTCCGGGTAGGCAAATTCGCCATCATCGTCAGCGTCTGCACTACCCCGCTGACTAGTCCCGAAGCCGAAATGGACAAATTCTACGAGAACCTTTACGCCCTCCCCGTGTCTGTGTCGAAGACGGATAACCTAGTTGTCCTTTGTGACTTCAGAGTCCGCGTCTGCACACACCATGCTGCCTGAAAAGAGTGCTGCGTCCTCATGGTCTCGGCGGCTCCAATGACAATGGCCTACTCTTCCTACGGGCCTGCGCGGAACACCGGCCCATCCTGACCAACACCTTTTGGCTCCCGACGTGTGAGAAGGCCGCCTGAATGCAGTCTCGGCCGCGACAGCGGCACCTGCTGGACTATTTCCTCGTCCGACGGCGAGATCAGCGAGGCGTGCTGGCGATAAAAGCGATTCCGGGTGCCGACGGGTGGATCGACCACCGTCTCGTCATCTATAAAATGTGTACTCGCCTACAGCTTCGCAGGAGACCTCGAGGTAAGCGACTCCCATGTAAGCTGAATATTGCTTTGTTGTCGTTGCCTGCTCATCACCAATTCAGCAATGAGCTAGCCCAACGGCTAGCCAACCATCCAATCGCCGCCTTGCTGATATTAACGCCCTCTGGAAACCCGGTGGTGTCAACTGGTGGACACAGTACAGTCGACGGCACTGGCCGTTCTCAGTCGCGCCAACACCAGAACCGGTTGGACGACAACAACGCCGCCATCAACAACCTGCCTACCGAGAAGAACCGTTTACACAAAGCCTACGTCGATCGCTCGACAGACAACAACGGGGCAGCCTTCTACCGTAGTCGCCGCCTTGTGCAACGGCGGATGTGCAAAATTCAGGATGCCTGAACAGCTCGCAAGGCCGTGGAGATCCAAGGGTAAGCGGACCGCAACGAATGGAAGAACTTCTTCGCCGCGATCAAAGCTGTCTACGGTCCGCCAACTAAAGCAACGTCACATCTTCTCAGCGATGACGGCAGTACCTTACTCAATGAGAAGACACAAAATCTACAGCGATGGACGTTCTCAACCGTCCCTCCACCATTTCCGCCGCTGCCATCGCTCGTCTGCCTCAAGTGGAGACCAAAGCCGACCTCGACCGCCCACCCTCTCTCTACGAAACCTTCGGGGCCGTGCAGCAACTCTCCAGCAGGAAAGCGCCTGAATCGGGCGCGCTCCCCACTGTCCTCCCACATTCATTCACTGCATGGGCCTATTCGGCCACATGCGTATCCACGAGAGTGAAATTGACCGCAGCCCGATACACCTAGCATATCCAGCACACCCACCATGCCTATTCCCGCCCACACTCCGCAGCCCAGCGCGCCCACCGCTACCAGCCCCATTACACTCGGTACATTCTACACACCCATCATGTTCAGCGCAAATCCCACCCCGCCGCCCAGCGCACTCACCACCACCACCAGCTCCACCATCACCATCACCGAAGCTGTCACTGAGATCGCCGACTTCTCATGTTCACAATGTCCCCATACATTCACTTCGCGCATCGGTCTGGTCGGTCACTTGCGAATCCGTCGCACAGAGACTGGCGAAAAAGTGCCTGGAGCTCAAACCTGCACTCGCCGCATCCGCCTCCACTGTCCACATTGCACTCGCATATTTATTCACCGCAAGGGTCTATTAGGCCATATGCGCGTCCACGAAAACCCGCGGTAGACATCACATCCTCTCCCACCAACATCTCACGGCACATAAATCTCACTTACCCAAACACCCAACTGCCACCTCCCACGCAAGTGTGATAGGAGTCTGAGACGAAGATGGGTCGTCGAGCGTCGTGGCTCGGAAGGCAGCCGACTGACGCCCCAACTCAGTCCACGCAGTCTGCCCAGTTGTGTGTTGTGTGGAGTGGCGGACTGGTGAGCTGAGAGCCCGGCTGTTAGGACCCCTTCTCAAGCTATCTGTGGCACTCTCATGCACTTGGGGAGAGTGTTTGCTTTATGGGTAGTGCCTCTCAATCGGCGAATGTTTGGTTACCAACCTTAAAGGGTGACGGCCCAGGCTAAATGCAGGGCAACATGTCGCCCTTCTAGGTCGAAAGGTTTGAAAGTGTGTGCTATGCCAGCATCAGCAAACCATGGCCATCGCAGCCTGGTATGCGCTGACAGTTCCCTGACTCCTGGTTCCCTGCCGGTAGATGCGCGTGCGCTCCTGGGTGGTGGGTCTGGCTGCCCGGTTATCATCCTCGTTTTTCTGAACTCTCTTTGGGTGTTGTTGTTGCTGTTGGTCAAACACCTGGTCATTTGCTGTGTGGATCAGGGGGTGTGGAATTGAACTCCAAAGTGGAGCTGTCAGTATTCCAACAAATTGGGCTGAAATCAGAGCTAAACAACTTTCCAAGGAAGGACGAATTTAAACCGGTTGCTATGAAGAAGATACAGCCTGGCTCAAACAGTTTAGCCATCGAACAAATGTCCTGAATCATGACAGATATTTTATCCATGGTGAGTAGCAAGAAGGTATCAGTTGTCTGATCGGAAGTCGGAAGTGCCCGTGAAAGGCAATAGAGGAAACTTTACACGCGCATAAGACCAGAGGCACAAAGTTGGATTACCTGCAAACCTCATGATTAGCTGTAAAATTTTCCCTTAAACAATTTTATGAAAACCGATGAATTACATTTTAGCTTTAATCGACAGATGACTAGGAAAACATCAAGGATGGACATGATTGATCCAGAGTTTGGTCATAGAGGCTTGTATTCTGCTTGAAGTGTACAACTCATTTAGACTAGTGAATGGGGCTGCATAATATCATTAAAATGTGATTTTACTCGACATGACCTGCAGTTAATCAGAGATTTCCTAAAGATTCTTCTGCGATGAGCCGATACTTTTATGATGCTGATGTCCTCAAATTTGGGCAAAGTTTTCGTTATTCGAGTTCTTCTCTTTAAAGTCAAGATGAAAAATTTCTAATAATGAACTAGATGAAGCTTCATTCTTCTCAAACATTAAATCCGAAACTCGCCGAAATGCCCGAAGCTGACAGGCATTCAGCGCATAACTCCAAACTCGGAGATCAGGAAAAAATATCGGGCGCAGTAGGCAGTCGCTGGGCAAATCAGATTTATGCACCACCGGAGGTTGACAATGACATGAATCACTTTCTCTTCGTTGACTCCGTAACCTGTGCAGACTACCGTGAAGCAAAACGCTCAGTGAGTTCTGGAGGCAGAAAGGGCAAGGAAAATTAACGACCAAATATCTGGGGCCGAAAATGAGCTGTAGCTGACGATAATAACTGTGTGAACATAGTGTGTTGGAAACGTCTTCAATAGACTTTAAATCTGAACGACTGTTTGCAATTAAAACAAAGCATCTTGCGTTCTCCCTGAAGTTTTTACGTAAAACGAATGGAGCACTTTCACTGTTAACAAAATAACCTAGTACTTGCACTTACCAGTTTTTGACGCGTGAGAAAGTTTTCAGGTGTTTAGAGTTGCCAGTAAGGAAATAAAAGCAAACGATAGAGTAATCTGCATTCACTTTATGCATGCGAAACGATCGATTGTTGCACTAAAATTAAATTATTTATGAAGTTGCTTATTTGCTCAGATTATAGAAAGGACAGTAGAGGTTGATAAAACAAATTAAAATGCTATCTTATAATACGTAAATTACAGAACTTTCTTATGGTGTAGACATCTAGAAGCTGTTCTTTAAATTCTATAATCCCGTTTTAAATCCCTCATTTGTCCTGATATAGTCCAAGCAAATCGTGCTGATTGCTAAAAGTGTCTGAGCCTTATACTGAAACTAGAAATATTCATCGTGAAGACACCAAAATGAGGTCATATGTAGACCATTAATTCAATTTATGCTTGATGCAGACAAACAACTTCGGTCTATCACAAACGTAAACCGTCTGCATCACAACGAAAATGCTCAATGTAAAAATAACCAGACAACTATGCTATTATATAACTAAAGATCGCATGGCTTGATTTGCCGATACTAGTCCAAGTAGTTCAATCAAATAAATGCTTGTCACAACAACTGCAGATAATGTTCTATTATTTTTTAAATCTAAACCTCCCAATATATCATTAGACATTATATAGCGGGTCGGTATCTTTGAGGCGAATCTTAAATGAAAACTTCATGAATTGTTTGGAAGTTCTGGGTCGTCTATATGTACAAAAGCGTATTTATATTCTTCCGTCTTTATGAAGACAAAGATTCGGGTGCGAACGCTGAAGTGCATAATTCGGGTTAGAAATGGAAAACTTACATTTGTATACGATTCTTCAAGATGGGGGCAATCGTAATAGATATAATGGTAGATAAGCGTATAATTTGCATGAGCGGCGTTAGCATCATATATAATTAGCATAGAATGAGGTCTCAGTTTCTCACAAAATGGAGAAAGTTAATTTAAATATTTAAGAAGTGCAACTTTTATATCTTATGCGAATACACAAAAGTCCCAAAATGTTGACTATTAAAAAGTCCATGCCGTCTCGCGATCGGCTCCTCAGAGTTTAACACTAATGGGATAAGTCTGTCTCTTATATTTACGACTGTACAATTGTTAAACGTTGCAAATAAGGGACCTTGATTATTCGGTTGTTAAAATTAAGGGTTAAGCCTGTCCAATAATATAATACTGCCAGGCCAACGGACAGATTCCATAAAAACACTTATACTGTGACGTAAAGTATCAGGTATTTGGTTAGGTGGCAAACGATATCACCGTTTGCAAGGACGGTAAACTGCTTGGACGATAAACAACTTCTGCATTATGGGGAGTTTTATGAACACAATGTTAAACACACTGCTACATCGATAGAGGTAGTGGACTGCTGTTCGTTATACTGCCTGAGAAATTGGAGTAAAGTGAGGGGAAGAAGTATTATAACGTCATAAGTAAATTGCTCTAAGTTTCCGATTTACTTTCACCGGTATTTTTCACCAATCTCATTATCATCATCTCCTCAAAACCATGCTCCTCCTACTCCTTCCTTTTGCATATCTGAACTGCTAAGCAACAGCCCTTAAACTTAAATATTTTCATGTATTATGCCGTATAATTGGCTTCATATTGTTCAAACATATCCAACTATGTGAATATGAAATTATGCTTGTCATAATACTTAGCAGAAAATTATGAAAAACACCGTTTGAGAAGTTGCATCATAGCACATAATTTGGCCAATAGCCTTCGATGCGTCACGCCAAAATTCTTCCGATCAGATAATAGCATCTCCAAGGACAATTAGAAGAACCAGCCAGATTCTCTAAACTCTGTTGACACTTCCATAGTTTATAATATCTAAAGAAACATTATCACTTCTCCAGAAATAATAATTGTAAAAGCTGCTTCATCAGAAACCAAAACCAGATAAATTAACACTAAGAAACTGTACTGCCTACGAGGTAACAAGAATTCATTAACTACATCTCGAAAGGATGCGACCCCCTCCCCCTTCACGTGTGTGCCATGCAATCTACCTAATGAATTAAATCGCTGTTTCAGGAAGATTTTAAAATTAAAAAATGAAAGAAGAGCAATAAAGCTCCAGGCTTGTGTGAGCGGGTCGAGGCTGCTAATTGATGTGACAACAAGGGCGGATCGTTTGGAAAAAATAAACAAAAAATGATGAGTGACAATTCCGGCAAAAAAGTGGATTGCGCAAGCATT